TCCTGTCTATGTCCCTTCTGAAGGATGAACAACACTTTCCTAGTAGCTGCCCCATGGGCCAAGGGGCTGGATATGGCCACACCAACACTGGTCCCTGGCAAGGAGCACGGAAAATGCAGGGAAGGAATCTTGTCACAACAGGGTTCTGGGAGCAAGGATGGGAGGGGAAAGCTATTAGATGGGCAAACCACAGAGTCTGCGCATTAATGCAGATCACCTCCTCATTAGCATATTCCCGCCTCTGTCCTTCCCCTGTTTCTCCACTAATATGGCACCCCCTAGCTCTTGGGAGGGGCCACTACCAGCTTGGAACAGCTTCGGAGAATGAATGGGGTCATCCAACTTTAACATTAAATGAGTTGGGCTTTCAGGTGTTAAGGTCTGTTACGCTGTGTAAGCAAGAATTGTAATTTTCTTCTATTTTGTGGCAACCCAGTTTTAATATCTCCCAGCCTGGAGGTTTTTTTAAAGGTCTTGGAAAAAGGTGAGACGGGTTGCTATTTCACAACCTAGAAAAAAAAAAAAGAAAGAAGTTACCCAGTGATGGCATGTTATTTCCAGTTATGTCTCTGACCAGTGATCCAGTGGCACAGTCAATTAAGGCCCTTGATTGCCTTTCTCATTTAGCTTTAATAAGGTGACTCGCAAATGGTCAGAATACCACAATTTGTTAGCATAAGCATTAGCATCATCAATAATAGAGGTTCGTCCATTTAATTTTGCAGTGTTAATTTCAATCCATGTTTTCACTTAGAATTAAGGGTACAATTATTTTGTATTAATAAGATCACTTATCATTAAAATGCAGTTACTGAATCTTCACCAAAAAGCACTATAAAGCAGATCGGTATCCCATTCAAACACATTACTGACACGGTTTATTATTTTAAGTTTTGCTATTGAGGTAATCCCTTAGGCAGTAATTCTCTAAATCTAAACTAAATGTACCTTTGAGGGCCTTAACTTCCAGCATTATTGTAGTTCTTGTCCTTTGTATTTCATTACTGATTACTGAAAGCAGTAACACCCTTTGTTAAAATTCATTCTTAATAATGACAGGTGGTTTGTTGGAATGTAAATAATGCAACACCCCTCTGACTATTCGAATCCTATTAGTACAATTCTCTCTCTTTAAAAAAATATTTTCAGGGGGGCACCTGGGTGGCTCAGTGGATTAAGCCGCTGCCTTCGGCTCAGGTCATGATCTCAGGGTCCTGGGATCGAGTCCCACATCGGGCTCTCTGCTCAGCAGGGTGCCTGCTTCCCTCTCTCTCTCTCTCTCTCCCTGCCTCTCCATCTACTTGTGATCTCTCTCTGTCAAATAAATAAATAAAATCTTTAAAAAAAATATTTTCAATTAAATGTTTTCACAACTTCTTGGAAATATCAATTATAAACATTCTCATTTGACTGAAATTCCACAAAGAGTGAAAGGCCCCAAGAGGTGGCTATTCTACTCTATTCCCCCAAAGTAAAAATCTATGCCACAGAGACCATGCAGTGGCATGATATATTCAAAGCGCTAAAAGGAAAATACCCACAACCAAGAATACACTACTCAGCAAGATTATCATTCAGATAAACTTTGTATTTTATGAGGCTTTGGAAAAACTCTGTTTTGTGTCAAGGACTGTGAGATGTCCAAAATTTTACTCTGCTTCAAAGCGAATAAACTTGTCTTCTGTGGCTTCATGGATGCTGGCAGAAAACTTGGGCCTTCTGGGTCACAAGAGAAGGATGCTGCTACATTTGACACATGTCCAGCATTTGGGAGATCCCACAGGAGCATTTTCCTTCTTGTAGAAGCCTACAGGGTGATCCTGAGAAATAAAACATGATCAATGTACCACCTTCCTGGTATGTTCTGCGGTATGGGATGTTCCTTCCCCACATGCTGGAGTTGTTGCTTCTCCTTATCCCTCACAAAATTGTCAAATGCCATCACAGTGCCTGTAACTTTCCCTTTGTTTGCAATCACTTCCTAATCACAACTTGAGCTCTCATCCACAAAGGTCAGCCATAAGAGGGACAAAAGCATTTCTATAAAACTGATTCATAATTAGGTCTGAATCCCCTAGGTTCCCTTTTGTTTAAACTGTCACCCATAGGGTGTGCCAAACAGGCCAGCCTGGGGATGCCATTACAGACAAGAAAGAAGCAACATGGCCAGAAATGGCCAGGGAGGAATTGAATTTTCAAAGTGGTTCTATATAACCCCGGTCCTGTTCATCTTGCTCATTCCCTAGGAAGCAATTGAGAGGGCATGGTCCCTTTTGGGGACAGGCATATTCAATGAGCAAGTTTTCTTAAGGTACTGTTATGGACTAAATATTAATGTCTCCCCAAATCCATATGTCGGAACTCTGATCCCTAGGGTGATGGTAATTGGTGGTAGGGCCTTTGCAAAGTAATTAAATTTAGATAAAGTCATGAGGATGGAGCCCCCATGATGGAATTAGTGTCCTTATAAGAGGAGGAAGAGAACAGAGCTCACTGTCCACCATTTGAGGACACAGCAAGAAGGAAGCCACCTGCAAACCTAGAAGAGGGTTCCTACCAGGAACCAAATCAGCCAGCATTTCAATCTGGGACTTCCAGGCTCCACAATTATGAGAAATAAATGTGTTGTTTAAGTTACCCAGTTTGTGGTATTTTGTTATAGCAATCCAAGCTGACTACTTTTCTTAGTTATCTCATTGATTTCTAGCTTATTTTTAGTATGGCCAGAACACATAGTGTGAATGATTTCAAATCCTTTGAAATTTGTTGACACATTTTAATGGCCCATTGTGTGGTCAATTTTGGAAAATATTTCACGTGACTTGGAAAGAATATGTACTTATTTTGCAGTGGGTGAGGTTTACCTATAGGTCAAGTTCACATAATTCAAGTTATTGAATTATGTTCATCTAATCTCCACCGAAGTTTTTGTTTGTTGATTCTATTATTTATCAAGAGAGTTTGGTTGAAAATCTCTGGTTTTGATTTGGTGTTTGTCTACTTCTCTTTGGAGTCTATCAATATTTGCTTTGTATGTTTTTTAGGCTAAGTCTTAAGTATATATACCATAAGTATTGTTACATTTTCCATTTGACTTTACTGTGTTATCATTATGAAATATTCCTCTTTATCCTGTTCACCTTCATCTGACATCAGTAGAACTTTACCAACTTTATTTTTGCTGAGTTTTTGAGTGGTATATCTTTCTCTACCTAGTTACTGTTAAATTTCTGTGTCATTATACTTATGATGTCTGCTGTCAGCAGCATATACTGGTATTTTTAAGCAAGGCTAACAATCTGTCTTTTAATTAGAGTATTTAGTTCATTTACATTTAATATAAATACTGGTATATTTTGGTTTAAATGTGTTCTTTTGCAGTTTGTTTTTTGTGTGTTATTGTGTCTCTTTTTTTCCTCTTTTATTCATTTGAATTATTTAAGAATGTTTATTACTCTGGTTTCTCCTTTACTAGCTTGTCAGTTGTACATTCTTTAATTAAAATGTACCTTCCAGCTATTAGAATTTACCATAAGTTAGCACTTGTACCACTGCCTGGTCAATGTAAGGATGTCGGGATTTATGTCATTTAGTATATATTTCCGTGTCTTGTGTTATTGCTGTCCTGTGTTTTAATTCTATGTATACTTGAATCCTCAAAAAGTCATTTTTAATATTGCTTTAAACAGCCAATAGTTATTTACATTTGCCAACATACTTGCCCTTGCCAGCCCCTTTATTCCTTCTGTGTGTCCTAAAATATTCTTTACTGAATCCTTTTAGGATTCTTTACTGCAGGTCTGATGGATTCACCACCCTTTCTGTTCACGGGAGGTCTGGAATTCTACATTGGTAATAACTACCAGATAAGGGTGAAAGCACGGGTTCTCCACTCTGCCTCTGTTGACCCCTGTGGAGGAATGGGCTTCTTGGTACTGCTAGGAAGGAGCATGGGACCTTATTACCACCAGATGGGTGAGAAAGGCCAGGCTCCCCATCTGTTCTAAGTTGGTAGGGGCTGAAGTCCGTGTTACCACCCAGCAAAAAGTGCTGGCTATGTGCTCAGCCTTTTCTGACACCATCTGGCATTGGGCAAGCAGGTGGTGAGTGACTCATTACTGCCTGGTAATGGTTGGAAGTTTTGGCTCCCTACTTGGCCTCTGCCAGCCAGGATGCTAACAGGCTACAATTTCTTCTGTGTCATTTTGCTAAAATAGAGCGCTTATTGTCTATCTTCCTAAGCTGCCACTTTCCTGATATCTTGTCTAGAGAGAGCATGATTCCTTTGTCTACCCCCATTGGCATCTGCAGGTTGCCAACTTCTACAGTACCTGGTCTAGGATTTAGGGACAAAAAAGAAATTTCAGAGAACCTACCACCATGTTGTTTCTCAGATCCCAAGTTTCCTGGTCCATCTGCCTATTCTCACCACTTTTCAGTCTTACTGTGTTATTTTATACATGATGTCCAGTATATTTAGTTGTACTTAGTAAAAAGAATAGGGGTAAGTAAGTCTACTCCATCTTCCTGGAAGCAGAAGTCTCAAGATGTGTTAATGAGATTTAATAGGAATATACCTAAGTAGCAATAATGATTTTGATGTGTTAAATTAAACATAAACTATACTTTTGGAGGTATGTATGCATCAAAAAAGGATGGTGCAAAAGAAAAAAACCACTTTCAGAAGAGGAAACTGTGTTCAAGGAGACTGCACAAAGAGAAACTTTACTTTTTATATAAGATGTTCCCAGATTCAAGGAGAAAAGCCTTCATCCTTGGGTTTCTCAATCCTCTTGCTAATTAATGGGAGGGTTTGGTCATTTCTTATCTTAGAAGGGAAAAAAATCTGTATTTTATTTAAAAGTAGCCATAATGCTCTACCTTCCCACTGAAGTTCTCTAGAACCTCTCAAAAATCATCTGCTGATATTTATGCTTACTTAGCAAACACTTACAAGGGTCTCCTCTGGGAATCTCTTCTAAAGTGAGTTTCTGTTCCAGGTCGCCTGAATTGGTGGTCCACTGTGTGCACGAGCTGTAAACGGCTTCTTCCTTTGGCCACTACAGGGGACGGGAACTGCCTTTTACATGCCGCCTCTCTGGGTAAGCTCCACTACAGAGACAGAGGGCAGCAGTGCCCCAGGCCTCTTCTGCTCATTGTTAAAGGATAGACATCTGCTAAGTAGAGCCATGAATATCGCTCATCTGGAAGATTCCCCAGGGGTGGTAGCCACCAATCTAGCCCTTCTTGTCAAGCAGCTGGCAGGCTTGGTGGGGACACAGAGCACACATGAGAAAAGACCTGATATAATAGAAGGGGCCTAATCATGAGCCGCAGGAATGGGAATTAGAGATCGTGATGTAGAGGACTTCCTGGAGGAGGTGGGATTTTATTGAGATCTGAAGGACTTGAAAGATTTTTAGAGAAGACATTCCAGGTAGGGAGACTTCATGGAAAAGCATGAGGGTAGCTATTAACAGGATGTTTGGAAGCAGGGCTGAGCTTAGTTGGCCTTGAGCAGGAAGTTTGGGGAGCAACATTTTAGGTTAGATGGTTTTGGGCCACTGCGTCGATAGCAGTCCATGCACTTGGACTGACAGAAAGGCATGGTTTGGGTAAATCATAGGGGAATCACTTGGGTACTGACAAAAAGACATAGGTTGGATAGAATTTTAGGAGGAAAAATGCTTGATTCCACACTGAGAGCATAGTGAGATCAGAATTTCACTGGAAGAATAGGCAAAAGATAGTAAGCCAAAACATTAGAAGTGGCCATTGCTGGGTGGTGAGATTGTTGATTTTTATTGTTGGTCCAGGGGAATCACCTGGGAACTGACAAAAAGACATAGGTTGGGTAAATCACAGGTGAATCAGCATAGTCAGAATATACAGCCGAGAAGTCAGCAACCTTCTGAGAAGATGTGAGCTTTTGCAGAAAGCCATACCAGCAGGTGCACAAGCATTGGTAGCACTATTTGTATAACTGAGGGGTCATGGTAGACTTCCCAAAAGCTTAATTACTCCTTCTAGGTCCATCCTTATATACACAGAGGCAAATCGGTTTTGACATGTAGGATTGGACCCCCAGCTGTCCTCATGAGTCCTACAGTAAAGGGTCTCTCTCCACCAATGAGACCCTAAAATGAGAATATTCTTAGTTGAGTTTGACCAAGGATATTCTTGTTGGTCAAACTCACCTCCCCAGGTAAACATGGTCAATGCTCTTACCCAGAGCAAGGGCCCAACCCCAAACCTCTCTTCGACCCTATAGTGAGGCCTCTTCAACAAGAGGTAGATAGAGATGAGACTAAACCCCACAGAGGGAAATGCATGGGGTTTGGGAAGGGACCTGAGAGCCTCAACGGAGAATGGAGCCCCAGAGCAAGGGGAGCATTCCACATTCCACAGGTTTGGCAGTGGGTGGTGGGGAACACAAGGGCTCCCACCTACCTGCTTCCTTTCCATTTCACAATGAACACGTTTCTGTTTGTTGATATTGCAAAAGTATTTCACATTCATCACGGTAAGAAAATAAAAATCAATAATCCCACCACCCAGCAATGATCACTTTTAATGTGTTGGCATATTATTTTTTGTCAATTCTTCCAGTGAAATTATGATCTCATTATGTTCACTGTGTGGAATCCAGCATTTTCCCCTTAAAGTTCTATTGTGAATTTCCCATGCTATTATTCTTCAAAAATATGTTTTTGGTATTTGTGTCATATTTTATCATAACGTATCAACTATTCCCCTGTTGTGGAATATTTTCACCTTGTGTGTAAAATCTGGAAAGAACATAAGAACATCAGAGAAGTCTCTCATCTGTGTCACACAACAACTTCCTTACAAAGGGAAATGCCTCTGTCCCTCAGAAACTGCATTGTTCACTGCTACAGGTGGGCAAAGCCACAGATAGGGTCTCGTGCCACTGTGGTCTGGTCTGAGGGCAAGCATTTTCCCAGTGAGCACAGTGGGGCTCCAGTCTGCCTAAGAAGAGAAAGTGTCCCGTGGACCAGCCTTGCTCCAGCAAGGCCATGGCGGAGTCTGGAGCTCATCGCCAATTGGTTCTTTTCTCCTGGTACTTTGTTTTCCTTTCATGGGGTTTAGCTGTTTGACCTGACTGATCAAAGGAGCCATGCAACACTGACCAGCAATGCTTATTGAACCTGCTGACCAGGCCTGACATTGACCTAGGGTTGTGGGAGACACACACAGAAATGACAGAAATCCTTTCTGAGCCAGGCTTGTAAGCAAACATTTATGGGGCAGGGTCCCTGCAAGAGAGACCCAAACAAGGAGCCATGGGAACGGAGGCTGGACTTGCCGTGCCTGGGAGAGTCCCTAGAGGCCCCTGCAGGTGGGGCTGAGGGATGAGTAGGATCAGCTCGGCCTGTTTATAAAAGAAGCAGGAATGGCCACTTCCTTTCTCTATGTTGTAAAAAAAAAGGACAAAAGCCTCAGTTGACGGAAAACCCACAGCAGCCCGTGGTTGTTGCACATCTTTGCCCAAAAGGAGGCGTGGCCAGACTGAGTCTTTAAAGAGTAGGTCAGTGCAGGTCACTCCTCTTTTAAAAGCTCTCCTGGATCATTTAAAAGTCCATCTTTCCGCTCTCCACCTTGTCCCCTTGATCCCACCTCCAGACGCCTTTCCTGTTTGCTCTTTCCTAAGTATGACTCATAGACGCCCCTTGGGGCTGGCCCCGGCCTTGCCCTCTGCCTGGGATGGCAACTCAGCTCCCTCCTTCACCCACTAGACCCTGATGTCTCCTTTCTTGCCTGACCAGTACCAGCCAGCACCCTGTCCTGCTTCATGTCTCCGTATGGTGCTCTCCCCCGGACGGCATATACCAGATGCTAATTCGATGGCTGCTTCCCATTCACTCAGTGTGCACTCTGTGAGATTTTAGGAACTTAGTCTGTCCTGATGGCTGCTGTGGGTATTCCTAAAACCGAGAATGGTGCCTCACCCCTATTATGAAATAAGTTTGGAATTAATTAAGTGGAATTAATGCCATTTAATAAATGGATGGATGGATGGATGGATGGATGGATGGATGGATGGATTTCGCCACTCTTTACCCATAGCCAGAGCTGCACTTCTCATTACTGTTTCCTCCATTTGTTGGGTCTCTTGACCACATCTGAGCTGCCCCGAGAATGTACTCAGAGATGGCTGGCTTTTCTTATAACCCCTCAACCCCCAACACAGACTGGGTAGGGAGTAAGGGGGAAAAGACCTTCTCCCCTGAAAGCAGGTACTTTCTCTTGGGTCCAGATGTTTGCAGTGGTGCTCACTGATGCTCTGCTTCTCAGGAGGTCGAGATGGCTTAGGGCTGAGACATCCGATGTGGCAGACCTTAGATGAAGCCAGGGTCTGATTGCCATCCTGGCTTGAGGCCCTATGTGAGGACATGTCCCCAGTTTATCCACAAAGACCATCTTTCACTCAAAAACAAAAACCTGGACGGTGAACATTAGGACCCTCAAAGCAAACCTACTAGATTACCAGTAGCTTACCAAGGATCCCAGAGAGAGGCAGCAGGGGATCTCATGCACTGTTGGTTCTCTGAGAAAGGGACATGCTCCTTCATTCACCGACTCGCTTCAGTGGGAAATGGGGAAAGAGAGCAGAGGGGAACTGCTAGCTCACCGTGAGAAATGAAGAGCTGACGGATGACTCGTGTTTGTGTGTTCACATGCAGCGGGCCAGGCCTGGTAAGTCGTGGCAGTCTGAGTGGCCTCCTGGCTTGTCCCCCTCCTCACGACCTGTCTCTCTCCTCTGCTCCTCACGGGCATCCCGCTGCAGGAATGTGGGGGTTTCACGACCGGGACCTGGTTTTGCGGAAAGCTCTCTACACCATGATGAGGACGGGGGCTGAAAGAGAAGCCCTAAAGCGCAGGTGGAGGTGGCAGCAGACACAGCAGAACAAGGAGGTTGGTACCCGCTGGTGTGTCCGGAGCCTGAGACCCACACCAGGTGCAGCACGGGTGGAGTCCAGAGCTGTGAGGTCAGACAGCAATGGCTTCTGGGACTAGGAAAGCCTCCCTTGTTTAAAACAACTGAGGAGGCACCCATTACAGAAGCTGTCCCTGCATAAAAATGAAAACTAACCACCCTCACTGTCAGAAGGTGTCCTGACTTGATGACAAATTACAAGTCACTTAAGTCTGATCACTCCGGGCAGCTTGAAGGCCAGGGTAGCCACAAGGTGGTGGTTCCCCACAGCCTACAGCCCCCGCTCCTGTACATGTTCCCAATCCAAAGAGAATCCCAACCGTCCTGACAATGAAGGACATTAGCACTTTGCTGTCCTAGGAGGATCTGCCTGCATTCTGATTGAAGTTGGCCTGTCATCCCTTTAAACTTTTCAGTGCTCAGCCCCAAATTTGGTGTGTGCACATTAATGTTTGGTCATTCTCACCCCTTGGGCTGGTCCACCCTTGCTGGGTGGACACCGCCCCCACAGCATTGAAATTAGAGATTGGGGGTTCTGAAGAAATCTCACTGAGAGCAAACGGGGACACTCAGCAGCCACTAGCAGGTGTCCCCGGCCTGGGTGCTGGTGGGGCTTGGACTGAGCCAGTGGGTCGGGGGTCCGGCAGGGCGGCCAGGCTCACCTCCTGCCCGCCCACCACCTCCTGAGCCGGCTTCCATTGTGCCAGTCAGGGCTGGTGTACACCGAGGAGGAATGGGAGCGGGAGTGGACGGAGCTGCTGAAATTGGCGTCCAGCGAGCCACGCACGCACTTCAGCAAGAACGGTGGCACAGGCGGGGGGTAAGTGCGGCCCCTCACTCTCCCCGGTGGTCACCTTAAGCTCCTGGCCGGCCAGCGTGGGAAGCGGTTCGAGGGAACATGGCCACCCCAAGCTGGAGGAGATACAGCGATTTCTGCCTTTGGACATTAGGTTCTCCTCAAGGACACAGGGCAGAGTTATGGGGCATGGCTGGACAGATAATTGGGAGAAGTATACATAGCTTTCAAATACATTTTGCAGGTAGAGGTGCAGTGTTGTCACACGTGTTGTCCCTTCCCCATTGCCCGCAGCAGTGGGAAGGGGACTCACTGGACAGCCAGCCTCTGCAGGGGGCATGCAACCTGGTGGTCCCCGCACACTGCTGTTGAACACACGAGGCTCAGAAACATCAAGCTGCCGGGTTTGGACTCTTTCCAACTAAGTATCTATTTAATTTCTGGCTTCAAGAAGTCAGAGCAGAAGGTCATTAAGTGAGTCCGGCGTCTCCCAGGTGAGCGGACGGATGCCATCCACATTCCTGGCAAAAAAGGCTCTGCCTTTGTACACATGCAGGGAGTAGCTTGTTCTGCAGACACAGCTGAAGTGTCCCAGCCTGAGAATAGAGCGTGGCCAAACAAAGCAGCCACCAAACCTGCAGCCCCAGCATTTCAAAGGCACATGTGTGCTTTGGTTCATACTTATGGAAGCTGAGAATCAAGTTGTAACACCTAGAAAAAGTCTCAAGCAGACACAAGAAAGCCTGGGCATTGACAGTGAGAAGATCCAAGAAAGGATCAGACTCCAGTAGACAGCCCGGGCTGGCAGTGTGTCCTGGCCCCACATCTCCACACCCAGGCCCTCAGGTGCCAGCAGCAGGGTGTGGGGCTTCCCAGGCCTGGCACAATATCGAGGACCCTCAAAGATGAGCTCTCTTGTATGGAAACCCATTAACACAATTCCCATAGGGTCATTTTGTCACTTTGTTTTCATAATGTCATGTGTCAGTGCTAAAGTCTGTCTTATTTAGGACTTTTGGGGACACATAGTCTAAAGCCTCAGTCCATTCCTGAAAACTCCTCTCTCATGCTGAGTCACGCCTGAGCTGTGTCTGAAGAATTCTCTAGCATCCCTTTCATCATTGCCTCACTGGCGCCTGCCAGAGGGCAGACACCCCGTAAATGCGGGAGGATTGACTCTAGCCCAGTGTGTCTTCCGGGCTGAGGGGTGGGGAGTACAACAACAATAATAATAAGTGGCCATCACCACATACTATGTCCCCTGAGTTCCCCCATTCAGGAAACACTTGGCCCATGGTCACACAGTTGATCAGGCCTCAGCTTCTGCTCTTACTCCCTGGAACCCAAGAGGGCCCAGAGCTGAGTGAGGGCAGAAGGAGTGGGGCGTCTGGTGTTCATTCCCGTCTCCTTCCCACAGGACTCAGGTTTGCCCACTCAGTTGGGGCAGGAGCACTGCAAAGAGGTCTCCTTGGTGATGGGCAGCAGCTCTGCCGTTCTCTGTTGTTCCCCTAAACTTTGGGATACTGGGGGAGAGACAGAGGGCACTGGACCAGCTACTCCCTCTCCCCAGCTCACAAGAAGAGTGCTCTGAGTTGCTGAGGGCTCCCAACCCAGCTGTAGCGATCGCACACCCACAAAGCTCCTGCCTCCTCTCAGAACCCTTTCAACCTTCAATCTGGTCTCAGTTGTAAAGACAAAAAATGTGTCTAGTCAGAAGCAATGAGTGATATACAAAAGATGTTATTTTTTCCCACCAAGAGATTCCTTGGGTTTTTTGGTTTCTTGTTTCGTTTTGTTTGTTTTTGTTTTTTAGTCCCCTCCACTACAGATTGGGCCAGAAGGTTTGAGGAGCAGATAAGCTTCACGTGAGCTACCAGCATCCTCCTCTCTCGGGGGTGGTGTTGGGAAGGGGTGGACACCATTCAGTGTGGGTGGGGACTCTGACACTGGCAGGACCTTGGAAGCACCCCCCTTTTTTATCCATTGGTACAGACTGCAGCAAGGAAATGCTCTTCAGGATGGTGTCCAAGCCCTGATGGCTAGTTTCTCCTGGATTTTTAAAGGTTCCAAGAGCTCAAATCCTGCCCCTGTGGCCCCTCCCATGACAGAGCTCAGAGTTTTCTGTCTGCATATCTGTAGCCCACAGGGCCATGTTTGGGCTCTTGTTGGTCACCTGGATCCCACAGCAGCTGGTAAATCCCACAAGGAGGCAAGGAGCTGCTAGAAACAAGGCTATATTGGTTCTGACATGTTACTTTTATAAATATGTGTGTGCTATGCATGAGACACTGGATCTCTCTCGCCAGGTATTTTTACCTTTCCTTTCATTCTGAATTGCTTTCATACATTCAGGCTAGCAGAGAGTACTAGTATGTTTCCTCCCTCTAGGAGAGGCTCCCCTGCCATGGGGGTCCCACCTTTCTTTGGGGTTCAGAAGTCCAAAAGAGAGACATTTTTCCAATGAGTCATTTGTGCCTCTGCATTTTGCCTCTGTCTTCCCTAGGCAAAGGTAAGAGGTTTCCCTACTCACACTTTGCTGAGAGATGTGAGGTGGGACTTGAGGGCCTTAGAGACTGGTACCAATGCCTGCCTGGCTGAGGTTGGCCAGCTTCCAGGTCCTCAGAGCCATGGGGGGTTATGGGGATCTAGGGGCTATGCATGCTTCCCAACCACCAGCAGTGAACCCTGGGATGAGGCCTGAGATGGGCTGTCTTCAGGAGGGCTGTCTTCCAACAAAATGGGTAAACCCTAGAAGCCAGGCCAGAAGGGTGGTCACAACCCACCAGCTTGGGTTGTCACCACCTCTGTCCAGGGAACTGAGGGCAGAGACAGTCAACTGTGAGGACACCTGAAGACCCAATAAAGCACTTCCATAGAAATGGGGCTCAGCATTTGGATCTCCACCAAGCCCAGTGGGCACCCAAAAGAAGAGTCAAGAAGGACTTTGCCATCCTCCAGCATCTCCTTTCTGGCTTGTGCCAGCCAACCCTGCAGGGAGCCAGAGATGGCAGCCAGACAGTGACGAGGCAGTGACATGAGAAACAGAGAAGTGGCTGGGGCCTGGGAGCCCATGGAACAGAAGAGAAGTGACACACATTTTCCAGATTTTATCCTGGGGATAGGAAAGACTACCAGCAAACTCATTCTCTCTTGACTAGCTCTTTTCATGGACACTGGCCTGGGGTCATTTTTTAAAACCCATTCCTTTCCCAGAACACCACAAGTTTTAAGTATCTGAAGAGGCTGGAAGGGACGGAAGGGCAGATTCAAGGATGAGCTTGGCCCTCTTTCTTTCTTCTTCCTGCAAAACTCACAGTGGCTGGTCCCAGGCTCACTTTCAGAACCCCAGCAAGAAACACTGGAGGCAGAGATGCATGTCCTCTGCTCACCCAAAGAGAAGGTTGTAGACCAGGTTGGCATCCAGGCAGGGCAGGCTACCAGCCGGATAGCCACCATGGACAGGCTGCTTATGGCTGATGCCCCAGAGTACATGATCACAGAGTCGGCCACCCTGGAAGAGCCCAGGAAGGTGAGGTGGGTATGAGCTTCAGGTTGAACTTCAGATGCACGAGGAAGACAGAGGATGGCACCACAGACATGGACTTGGCAAGCACAGTGAAGAGCCACGACCCAGGCAGGGGCAGGTGCTTCTGAGCAGGCCGCAGCTGCAGGACGATTTCCCTCTGATGCGTGCAAATCAAAATGTAGCCATGTCTCCATGGGCAAAATAAGAGAAGTCAGATATTCTGTGCCTCTGCTGCTGCTGCTGCTACTGCTCCAGAGACCTGCTGAGTTACCACATATGAAATGTATCTCTCCGGAAGGGCTGCTGCTGGAGTTTTTATAGCCCAGTCTAACCATCACCATTGTTGCATCCTGTGGGTGCTTGGGCCCACATGGGGAGCCAGCAGGAAGACAAGGAGGAAACAAGGAAATAACTCTACCCTAAGTCTGGTTGTTCATCGTCTGCTTGCCCTGCAGCCCGATGCTATGCCCACTCTGGCAAAAGAGGGTATGCAATCAGAAGAACCTAATTCCTTGTTCCAAAAGTGATAAAAATCTCTGACAGCAAGTAGTTAGCGAGGGTCTCTGGGTACTTCATCTGGTTTCATGGCAACAGCGAAAAGGGAGCAAAGTAAAAGGGCCTTGCCTGGTGGACCCTGACCAGAAACCCAGACTTAAATGCACTGCGTTGTAGTCCCAAGCTGGTCATGTGATGTTGGGCATATCCCGCAAGCTCTCTGAGCCTCAGTTTTGCTCATCTGTAAAATGCACTTGGTAACAACCTCCCTGCCAGGCACTATCAGTTTTGATGGTTGTATAGCAGACCACCCCAAAACTGAGTGGCTTAGAGCAGCATCCACCAGATTTGCTCATATTCTGGAGGTCCCTGGAATTGCCTGCTACCACTTGTGGAGCTGCAGTCATCTGGCAGTTGGTCTCAGTGGGGCTAGATAGTCCAAGATAGTCTCATATCATAGCTCAGAGGCTGAGAACTAACTCTCCTTGGACCTCTGTCCACATGGATTTTTATCTTTGAAGAGGTCCAAACTCCTTACAATACAGTCTCAGGTCAGGAAAAGATGGCAGCCCCTGATTTGCTGGGCCTTCTCAAGCCTCTGTTTGCAACACTTTACTAATGTCCCATTGGCCAAAGCAAGTCACACGGTCAAGCTGACCTCAGGGCACAGAGGTAGATTCCACCCTTGATGGAGAGAGGGACAAAGTCACATTGCAAAGGGACGAGTACACAAGAGTGGAAGGATCTATAGCCACCAAAGCAGTCTGCTACATACTCAGATATTATTGGTATGGAGTGATAAAATCACAGGTTTGAAGGTGTTTGGAAAGAGGTAGTTTTACAACAGTAAAAATAACATTTATTAAGACATTGTCACACTTATGCTGTAAGTTGTCATGCCTGCTGCCTCTATGGTATTGTAAAGACTCACCCCAGATATCTGAAATGTGTTCCTTCTCTCTGACTTCCCACTGGCTCATCTAGTGTCTGATAGTCCATTCTT